CATGAAATCATTGAGGGAGTAAATAATTAGATAAAGAAATTAATTGATTAGCAATTAATTATTTTTATAAAAAAATTTATGCAAATTATGTGTCAGATTTGTGTCAATTTACTTAAAGAGAACAAATTGTCTCCAGTCTGAATCTGAACTACTCGGTGATGTTCGGGTCCACCATTGACCATGTTTCCTAATCTGAACTATTTGTTGTACCCTTTATATATATCATTTTTTAAAATAAATTAAGTAGATCCGATAATCGTAACATGTTTAATTTATTAAGTTTATTTCCAACAACAACAAAAATTGAATGGCAAATGTGCTTTTGAAAATAGACCCCTTTTTTTTTTTCTTTTCATAACAAATGTGATAAAATAAACAACCCATAATTATCAAATGCAACTATTTTTTCTTTTCCTTGAATGATATATACGAAAGATTTTACAAAATAAATGATTAAATTATCAAAAAGCTAAAAAATACCCTCCAGTATAGATGTGGACCGGAGAGAAACCCCACCTTTATTTTAAATTAAAAGATTCTCAAAGTAACTTATTATTTAAAAAAATATTATTATTATATCATTCTAATAAAATATTTAGTATATAATTTATGTTTACAAATCATTTTTGGAAAAAAGAATGGTACTTATTGGAGAACTAAATACAATTGAAAATATTTCAAGAAAATCAAACCTATATGCAAATTTTATTTCATAACGTAACTCATAATAAAGACATAATTATCATCATTTTAGCTGTCTACATACTATATCTACCTATATGTGTACTATATAAACCCTTCTTTGATCTACAAAGGATTTCAAGTTTCAGTTTTGGATTATATATATTTCTATCAAGCTTTGAGAAAGAGACAGAGAATATGGAGGAAGGGAGAATGATGAGGGAGGTTGTGATGGTTGTAATGGCAGGGTTGATTATGGGAACAATTGTAATGGGACCGAGACAACCCAGTCCTTCTTTCCCTGCTTGTTTTGGTGCATGCTATATTTCTTGCATATCTTCCAATACTTCTTCGTTGATTTGTGCTGCCAAATGCTTCAAAGATTGCATCTTTCCACCAAACAATCCTGCTCCTGCTCCTCCTCCTCCAAATACACATGACTTGTGCACTTTGGGTTGTGCTTCCTCTTTACGCACCCATTTTAGTACTAAAGAAAATCCTAGTAAGTTTTTATCTCTCCTCTCTTTTAATTAAAAGAAAAAAAAAATCTATACAGTAGTTCTAACACACCTCATTATCGACATGTGGAATATCACCAAATTATTTAGTAATAATCTATTATACAGGATGGTAAATTCTATTATTAGTACATAACTACAAATCTAATAGATTCTAATTAACTATCATATTTATGCCGATGACGATTGTATATTATTGGCAATTGATTTTTTAATACAATATTGTTAGGCATTACGAAAAAGATATCATGAAAATCCTTCATGAAGATTTTTTATACTTGAATTAGTTTGTAGTGTTTTATCATATATTATGCAATCACCCTTAAATTAATTTTATGAAACTGTTCATTATATTTATTTTATGACGGATAGTATTACACTTTTTAATATATCCCCCATTTGTTCTTGTTGTTTTTGTTTTCTTTCATCAGGCGAAGAGAAAGTAGAGAACTGCATGGATTTTTACTCAAATAAGTGAGCCAAGAAGCGCAAATCGCAATGTATTGACGAATAATAATGGCTCAATAATGATGTAATGATTACAACTTTTGTTTTAGGGGAAATAAAATCATACTTGGTGATATGCAAATTTCATTTCATAACGTAACTCATGAAATTCATTGAGGGAGTAAATAATTAGATAAAGAAGTTAATTGATTAGCAATTAATTATCTTCATAAAAAAAATTATGCAAATTATGTGTTACATTTGTATCCATTTACTTTCACTGTCTAAAACACTCACCTAGTGAATAATCAAATCAAAACAACAAAAAAATAAAAATAAAAAAGAGAAAAATATTAAATTGACTTGTATTGGCAGCTTTGTGGGTTGTTTGGTTAGAAAGAAATGATAGCTTAGGGGGTATTTGGAATAAAATTTGCAAATTGGCTTCTTTTTGGGCTTCTGCATCTCCCCTTTTAAGGGAATTCCTTTTGTTTTTTCACTTCTAGGAATGGGAGAGCCATATGAAGCTAGTTATGTTTCTTGTACCTTCTTTTTTGTATCTTCTTTTTATCTCTCCTGTTTGTCGGACAACTTGTCCACCTTGATTCTCCTTTTAATAATTTTATTTTTGCTGCTACTGATAAAAAAAATGTCTATTGGTCAAGAATAGTTGCAAAATAAACACAGTTCCATACTCTCAAGTCATACTCTATCACCATTAAGTACTTAAGTTGTTTGATTGCATGCTAAAAGGGATAAAACAAGGAACCAGCACATAATGAATAAATAACATTTAATAATGCAGTTGCCTACATCACCTGGCCTATACTTGCAGCAGCCATTGGTTCATAATCAAAACTAATCAACTTAGATGACCAGTCAGGACCTAATTCAGCATCCAAAACTTGATTCAGCTGGCTCATTGGATCACATCAGCACCTTGACGAACAATAACCAACGCAGCCAAGATCTAGGAAGGGATAAGAGTTGTCACATGCTTTGGAACCAAAATATAACAAGCCTCATTCATACCAGCAATATAAAACTTAATCATAACAGAGGAAAAGTTAACTTGAAGAAGAACAAATGGTGAATAATCATCCAGATAGGGTCCACTTATCCTTTCTTAATCAGGGTCGGTACTATTTGTCTGTTTTATCACATTATAACATTTTTTTTTTATTTTCAAACAAAAAAATTTTATTGTGAATTTTAACCCGTCAGCATTTACTAAAACGGATTGATGAACAAAATCACTGTGATTACACCTTTTTCTTTGATCAACAACAGAGTACAATTGTATTAGTCTATTAGAGAGTGTGCCGAGGGGAAAAAACCCTTATACAATTCAAATAAATAAACAGAAAGAAGAAGAAAAAGTACAAAAGATAAACCTGACACCCCTTTAACAACTTGTGTGGGTAAAAATCTGATCACACTGCCCGTTTAGTGATCAGCAGCAAAGCACCGGCAGAATAGATGGCTCTAACAACCTGTAACAGAAAGGAAAAGCTCCGGCGGTGGTTCTTCCACCCGGGGGCACTCCGACGATCAAGTCAGTATGTTTCTCAAGGATAATCAAGTATTAAACTGAATACTCAAAGTATGAATTACATACCTTAGACCCACGGGGGTGCCTCTCTTTTATAATATACTTAATCCAAGTCCAACTGGAAATATGACTTCTGTGTACCCCAGTCTTAGCACTTACTCAGGACTCTTTAGGAGATAGACATAAACTCCCTAAGAGGTTTATCCTTATCTTAACTAAGTCCTCTCTTTGCTTCAGGACTCTTGTCCCTTATCTTCGGATTCCGACGTCTTCGGAGATGACCTCGGCTTATCCGAGATTACCTCGGCTTAACTACCAGGGCACGTGGCACCTCGGCTGACACGTCGGCGTCACCATGCCACGTGCTGGTAATCAGAAAATATGTCCCCACAATACCTATTGTGTATGCCGACGGTTAGTTTATAAATATTCACCTACTGATTGATAGCAAAAAAAACGCAATGTCTATTAACAATGACAAAAAAAAGAATAATGTTTGAAACTCTTTGAAAATATTTTCTAATGATCAATAACTTAACATAACATGTTACATAAATTTTGAAAGGAATGATTTCTCTCCAGTTAAAATTTCAACTGGATCAGACAATAATTGAGATCTCTTAAACCTCCGTTTAATGACTTATTGGTCGTTAAAATTTCAACTTGAAACAAGTTAAATCTAATTTTTAATTAGTCACAAACTAACTTTCTTATTATATCATTGGAATTGAATTTTAAATTATTAGTTTCTAGTATTTATATAATTTTTTGCCTCTTCTTTTCCTTTACTTTTTTCATTCTGTCTTCTCGTTCTCTCTCTTTCTGAAAGCTTTTTCTTCTTCGAATCCGCCATCGCTTCAAACTTTCTCCTGGAACCGCTTTTGATCCTTCATTCTTGCAAAAGCCCTCTTTGTTGTTGCAACTGGTTTCTGGGTTTGGTGCGCACTGCCCCGGCTTCATTTGTTCCGGTAAGACCCTTTCTTTTAATTCTTCAATTCTCTTTATGTGCTTTTGTCTGTCTACTGCCATTATTGATTTTGTTCGAGGTCTGGGATTTATTTGTCTCTTGAATTTGTGGCTATACTTTGAGCTTCTATGCTTTTTCATCATTCTTACTCGAGGTCTGGGATTCATTTGTATTTTGAATTTTGTGGCTATATTTTGAACCTCTATGCTTTTCCATCATTCTTTTCGCCGCTGTTCTTGATTCTTTCCTGTACCTCTATTGTTTCTGAAAATTATACCTCTGTTCTTGAATCTGAAACCTCGTTTTTGTTTTCTCTTTTTTGTATCTGCCCCAGATCTGTGCCCCCGATCTTTATCTTAATAGTTCGTAGATTTGGGATGTGTCTGTAGAACCCTTAATCTTTAGGGAAACCTGAAAAACGCCCGTCTTCTGAAACATATTCCTCTTAATTTAGGTCGACACAATGGGTATGTGGAGGCACCGGGTAAATACCCCAACAAGTCTTGAATACTTTAGGCAAGAATTCTCTATCCCAGCCGACGTTCATCTTAAGCTGGCTGGGGATAATGACACTATCGTGCCTACAGACCATACAATGCCTTTTCCAGTAGTTGCTTTTATCGAATGTGGACTTCGGCTTCCACTCGATCCCCTTTTTCGTCAAGTTCTCTATTTCTATAAGCTAAACCCCATGCAACTTACTATCAATTCCTATAGGATAATTAATGGTATTATAGCCTTAGCTAGGCAAGAAAACCTCAGAATCACCCTCGCCGACCTTCAATATTGTTATACCATGTGCCCTCTTAATCTGAAGGATAGGGGTTTTGTCTATTACCTTAAGCCGAGATCCACTCAGTACAAGATTATAGCCGACCTTCCAGACTCCAACAAGGGGGCTGGAGATGACTATCTTATTGCCTCTGGAAATTGGGAATTTGGCCCAGATGAAGATGTCCACCTTTACCCTCTTCCTCGAACACTTACAGAGGGCAAGAGTAAGAGCCCTGAGTCAACACTTAATTATTTTTACTTAGGACTTTTAAATACTTTTTGTTTCTGACGTCTGTTTCTTTGCAGATCTTCATCAACCACCGAAAAATTTTCGTCAATCCTTCTTCCCAGGACCAGATCTGAGAACACTTCTGGGCCTTCCAATCCTTAAACGAAAAGCCCCAGTATTATTAAACTTTGTCCCCACACACAAATCCATTTTACCCGACGTCCCTCGAAAAAGGAAGAAGAGTCTCTCCCCACCAACAGCCACAACCTTAACTGCTTCTACATCTCGGACAGATCAAGAGTCCACACCTGACCCAGCCGATCTTCCATCAACTTCGGCCCCCTTCTTAATACCAATTCCTGAACGTAAACGCCGACGAAGGCTAGTAAAGACTGCCGAAATGGTTCGTCCGAGGCCTGTCGTCCAAGACCTTCTCGCCGATATTCCAACTGATGCCGAAGCCGCACCGGCGCAATCAACGCTCCCTCCCAAACAAAAGAGAGTAAAAAAGGCTCAGCCTAAGGCCAAGGCTACAGACGCCGAGGCTGAGGATGCTCTGCCGATTTCGAGGCTGGCTGAAAGCAAAAAATCAACTTCTACTTCAACCAAAAGGTCTGCTGAGGGCCAACCCTCAGGATCTACACAAACAAAGAGGCCAAGGTCATCGTCTGCGACGACCTCGGCTTCAAAGAAGCCCGACGTCCCATGGGCCCCTGATCTTTCTCTGGAGGACAGGCCTATCATGGCTAGTGAAAGTGCTGATGATATCAACGTTGCTGTTGCCCTTAGCACTGCTCTTCTTCTACCGAATGACTTGGAGCGAAATGCCAAGTTCAGTGAGTATGAAAATTACGCTCTGATGCTCCAACACTCTGCTCAAGTAAGTATTTCTATTTGTATTTATGTTTCTTCCTTCTTTCTTCCTGAGAAATTTTTCTGATACTTCTGTTTGCATTCAGGCTATCCAACATGCCCACTCATTTTCAATGCAATCCTTTGAGAATCGTCAAAGATTGGTTGATATGAAGAGGGAAGCGACCTCAATGAAGAGAGAATTAAGGGCTCTTGAAGTAAAAATGAAGAAACTAGAGGATCAAGCCGAGGCTGCGACGAAGAACCAAACCTTAGCTCTTGAGAAGGCCGAAGCTGCTGAGGCCGTTAAAAAAGTAGCTGAAGCCGAGAAAAGGGAGGCCGAGGCTCAGAAGGTCCAAGCGCAAAAAGAACTTCAACAAGCTCTGGCCACCAAGGAGGCCGAAGTCAAAGAGGCCGATGAAAAGGCCTATGCTCAAGGCATGGCCGACGTTGCAGAAGAATACAAACTTCAAGTCAGGCAGGCATGCAACAGGGGATTTTCCCTTGGTTGGATGTCTCTGATAAAGAAGCTTGATCTCCCTGCTGACTCGCCATTGCGCCAAGCCGATGCTAATCTTCTACCATTTCTTCCTCCAAGTCAAGCTGAGGATGAATCAGAGACCGAGGTAGAAGCTGAGGGTGAAGACGAAGATGATGGCACGCCTTTTTATGGATTGGGCACGTCTTTTGATGGCACGCCTTTTTATGGATTGGGCACGTCTTTTGATGGCACGCCTTTTTATGGATTGGGCACGTCTTTTGATGGCACGCCTTTTTATGGATTGGGCACGTCTTTTGATGGCACGCCTTTTTATGGATTGGGCACGTCTTTTGATGGCACGCCTTTTTATGGATTGGGCACGTCTTTTGATGGCACGCCTTTTTATGGATTGGGCACGTCTTTTGATGGCACGCCTTTTTATGGATTGGGCACGTCTTTTGATGGCACGCCTTTTTATGGATTGGGCACGTCTTTTGATGGCACGCCTTTTTATGGATTGGGCACGTCTTTTGATGGCACGCCTTTTTATGGATTGGGCACGTCTTTTGATGGCACGCCTTTTTATGGATTGGGCACGTCTTTTGATGGCACGCCTTTTTATGGATTGGGCACGTCTTTTGATGGCACGCCTTTTTATGGATTGGGCACGTCTTTTGATGGCACGCCTTTTTATGGATTGGGCACGTCTTTTGATGGCACGCCTTTTTATGGATTGGGCACGTCTTTTGATGGCACGCCTTTTTATGGATTGGGCACGTCTTTTGATGGCACGCCTTTTTATGGATTGGGCACGTCTTTTGATGGCACGCCTTTTTATGGATTGGGCACGTCTTTTGATGGCACGCCTTTTTATGGATTGGGCACGTCTTTTGATGGCACGCCTTTTTATGGATTGGGCACGTCTTTTGATGGCACGCCTTTTTATGGATTGGGCACGTCTTTTGATGGCACGCCTTTTTATGGATTGGGCACGTCTTTTGATGGCACGCCTTTTTATGGATTGGGCACGTCTTTTGATGGCACGCCTTTTTATGGATTGGGCACGTCTTTTGATGGCACGCCTTTTTATGGATTGGGCACGTCTTTTGATGGCACGCCTTTTTATGGATTGGGCACGTCTTTTGATGGCACGCCTTTTGAAAAATTGAGCGCACCTTTTGAGGATGCGATTTTTTATGGGTCCGACAAGACTCTGTAAACTGTCCCGACATTGATTCCGGTCAGCTGCTACATCGGTCCGGCATGACCCGTAAACTGTCCTGCTACATCGGTCCGACATGACCCCGTAAACTGTCCTGCTACATTGGTCCGACATGACCCCGTAAACTGTCTTCTACCACGGTCCGACATGACCCCATAAACTGTCTTCTACCACGGTCCGACATGACCCCATAAACTGTCTTCTACATCGGTCTGACACCACCATACAGTGTCCTCTACAACGTTATGACACCCCATACAGTGTCTTCACCAACGGTCTGACACGACCATACAGTGTCTCCTATCTTTTTTTATTTTTATGTATTTTCTTGTTTTGCTCCTCTCTCCAAACTCAAGTTGGTTAGTTTCTATCCTCCTTGAGTTTGCGGGGGGCTGTTAGAATTTACCACTCACCTACTACCTCCACTATCTTTCTCCACACCTACCACCGCCACTATACCACTCACCTACTACCTCCACTATCTTTCTCCACACCTACCACCTCCACTATACCACTCACCTACTACCTCCACTATTTTTCTCCACACCTACCACCTCCACTATCACACACTCCACTATACCACTCACCTACTACCTCCACTATCTTTCTCCACACCTACCACACTCCACTATACCACTCACCTACTACCTCCACTATCTTTCTCCACACCTACCACCTCCACTATCCTCCTTGAGTTTGCGGGGGGCTGTTAGAATTTACCACTCACCTACTACCTCCACTATCTTTCTCCACACCTACCACCTCCACTATACCACTCACCTACTACCTCCACTATTTTTCTCCACACCTACCACCTCCACTATACCACTCACCTACTACCTCCACTATTTTTCTCCACACCTACCACCTCCACTATACCACTCACCTACTACCTCCACTATTTTTCTCCACACCTACCACCTCCACTATACCACTCACCTACTACCTCCACTATTTTTCTCCACACCTACCACCTCCACTATCACACACTCCACTACCATCTTCTCCTTTTAGCACATCACTCTTATTGAAGCCTTGAGCATGTGTTGTGTACCCTTTAGGGTTGTGTCTTGAGCTTTTGTGGTACTATCCTTTTGTTTTGGTAATAAAATAACTTACCAAAAAGTGAATAATGTAAAAGGTCAAAAAAACAATACCGGAGGAGGTATAATGGATTCATCTTGAATACTCAGCATCTGCCCTAATTTAAGTGCCGCTCCGCGCATTCTGCACAATGCAAGAGCCAGACGTTCCACATTTTTTCCGATAAGAATGGGGAAACAGTGGATTGTTTTTCTTGTGAATCGGGCATACCAAAGACAATCCTCTTGGCAAATTCCTGGATTGTCCCGCATGCAAGACCAGCTCCTAGGAAAACCTTCAAAATAAGTTAGGAATTAAGTAAAAATCTCAGTCATAAGAACAAAAAAACATGTTATACAATTGATGATTTCCCTCATAACTAACAGATTTGAAAGCCATGTCCAAGATATGTTATGTTTTAGAAAAGAAAAGGACTGCCAAATAACAATATTGGCACTACAAAGACCTGAATAATGCAGTGGTAACTAGTTTGAGAATAGTTCAGGACAAAAATAAATACAGTTACACAAAACATACATCAATGATGAGCTCCATTTTTTAATATTCCAAATGACTTGATTTTTGGGATGTAATAAGTAACATTTGGGATTTGAAAAGGAAAGTGTTCTAGTTCTTTCTGTCTTTATTGTTTTTAATGGAAAGGAAATTGCCAATAATAACAATAGACAAAATCTTAGTTCTATCATCCATAGAGGAGGAACCAAAGTAGTCATTAGCCATAAAAGTAACTTTCGTAAATAATGAAGGAGATATATTTCTTTAATTTTGTTTCGTGTGAACAATGCACACCAATCAAACTAAGGCAAAAAATTTACATGACACTTACGGGGGGCAGGGGGGAACTTGAGATACATAGACAACTCCTTTTCGCAGGCCTAATCCATAAGACAGAGATACCTCGAAAGAGGACCAACTTCCTTAATCACACCCATATGTCTCCAACATCTATCCCTCATACTCACAAACCTCCAACGCCACTCCCCCAACAAAACTTGTTTGAAATTTTCTAGCTTCTTGATACCAATCCTCATCCCTCATAGGATTGCAAACTGAGTCCCTGTCAACCAAATGGTTACTTGAATCCTCTCCTATTCCTCCCTACAAAAATCTATATGCAGCTTCCAATCTCTCGGCAACAAAGTAATGACAAACAAAAACATAAAATATGTAGGCAACCTAGATAAAGTACTCTTCATTAGATAGGTATTGCCTCTTTCACCCTGCCAGTCTTCTCTGAAATGTCTCAATTACTGGATCCCACAAGGACTACATTTTGAATAAGAAACTCAAAGGCATGCCCAAGTAAGAGGATGGAAGGGATCCAACTCTACAGTAGTACTCTCTAGAGTGCTCAAAAATCAATGTTAGTCACCTCCTCCCCTGGAATGAATTGGTTGTATTTAAGTTGGTGCAAGACATTCAAAGAAAAATAAAAGCAAGTTTGGAAATTCATATAGGGCTTACTTGGTACCTCATGTAACCAAGTTGGGAATCTATACTATATATATAACCAAATGTAGTTGTTTTGTTAAATATCTCCAAATATTTATTCCTAAATTCTCATAATTTTGAAACTCTCTCTTTCCTACATAGCAACCTTCTTTGACTGCCTTTCATATTTTCTATTTTTCTTCATTTTCTATTTGTTTGATTAATTATAATTAAAACTAATTTCATTGCTTATGGATAAAGATTTGAATTTCAAAATTTCTCCATATAGATAAACATATAAAAACTAAAAATTAATTTTATAGTTTACAGATAAAGATAAAAATTAAACAATTAATTTTAAAAAATTAATTTCATAACTAATAGATAATTTTTAAATTTCTTCCTATAAATAAACAAATAAAAGTTGATAAATAACTTATAAAAATTAATTTCATGGCCTACAAATAAAGATAAAGATTAAATAATTATTTTTTTTTAAAAAAAAATCACTCATTTTTTCTTCCCTTCATTTCGTACTTTAATTAATTTCATTATAGATAAACATATAAAAATTCATAAATAATTTATGAAAATTTATTTCATGACCTATAGATAAAGATAAAAATTAAAAAATTATTTAAAAAAATAATTTCATGACTTATAGATAAATAAACATATGAAAATTGATAAATAATTTATAAAAATTAATTTCGTGGCCTACAAATAAAGATAAAGATTAAATAATTATTTAAAAAAAAAAACAAAATTACTCATTTTTTCTTCCCTTCATTTCGTACATTAATTAATTTCATTATAGATAAACATATAAAAATTCATAAATAATTTATGAAAATTTATTTCATGACCTATAGATAAAGATAAAAATTAAAAAAAAAAAAAAAAAAAAAAAAAAACAAGGCACAAAACACATGTAGAGCCACCACTAATTAGTGGTCTAAATTATTTTTATAAAAATAAATTCATAATATATCTCAAATTGAAACACAACAATCATTGTTGTGCTTTTAGCACAATCGTGGCCCTATTTCCATTCAACATTAAGATGACACGCCACATCAAAGGATTCTAACATTACTTGTAATTTATTGAGAAAAGATATTTTTACAAAATATATATATATACATAATTTGTTATTAAAATAAAATGATAGGATAGCAATATTTATGTAATTAACAATTAATTGGATGACTTTTTGTTTAAAAGTAATTGGCCAACTTGTGCCATCTCATACTATAAAGGCACTTTGTATTTATTTTGTTCGTTTGTACGAAGGAAAATCGTAGGGGTATTTAACAATAAATTTTATTTCACAAACAAATATTTTAATTAGTCTTAATTTGTTTTGGCCTATTTTGAAAAGATGTTAAAAAGTGATTTTTTGACTTTTAATCAAATTTTTGGCTTTTTTAGACAATGATTTAAAAAGTTGGTAAAAAGTTACTTTTAACTTTTTAAATTAATATTTGTTTATGATGTCAAATCACAATAAAATGACTAAATTATTCCCATTCAATTTAAAATATTTACAACTTCATCCATGTAGCACACATTTTGACTCATGAGTAATAGAATTATAATTTCACCAATTGAAAACTAAATTTTCACATGTCTTTAAATATAAAAATGTGACCTTTTGACCTTTGTTACAAACGCACAAACACAAACGTGACTAAAAGCCAAATATTCAAAAGATGCTAGATTTTTTTTTATTATGGGTTAATTGCAATGAATCGGAACTAGTTGAACACTTGGGCAAAACGTTTCCCGTATGAGGGAGAGAATACAATGATCAAAATTCAAATTGAGCAAATTAGATTGGTAATTTTCACATTTTGCCTTTATCAAGTTGTTTTGTCCAAGTGTTTATCGAGTTGTATGTTATTCATTTATCGAGTTGTATTGTCCAAGTGTTTATTGAGTTTAGTGTTTATTTGTTTATCGAGTTGAATTGTTCTTTTATTGGTTAGTCGATTCGTCACCTGTCCAGTTGTGATCCATATCGAAAATAGTTTTGAAAAGTTTTAACAAAAGTTAATTTCGTTCAAATTAATCTTTTTACAACTTGGACCATTTGTTGACCAAAAGGAAAATTTTCAGTGCTCACAACTTCAATTCATTGATTTCAATTTTGAGTACATTCTCTAACTCCCTGATACAAATCAAAGTTGTTTTTATTACATTCCAAAGGAAAAACTTGAAAGTAAAGGTCTAAGCAATAAACTTGGGGCATGTGAGTCAGGTGTTCCTGCGCCTCCTGCTAGTCCTCGCAGAAGCTTCTGCAGTCAGAAAAGGGTCAAATTCCATGTTTTAGATGTACTGGTTACCTTCAATCTTTTGCTGGGGAAGGACGTTGGATCTATGCAAGTATTCTTCAAACTATGGAGAAGGATTTATACTTTGATATGATATGCGTGTGTCATTGATAGAGGAAATCAAAGATAGAGAGTTGCTAATATAATCAATTAATGATTTGTTTGAGAAGTTCTTTTTATAAACAAGGCAACAAACTTAGATTAAAATTTTTAAAAAACTACTTATAAATTATAATTAAAAGTTGATATTCATAATTTGATCTCACAATAATAATATACACCACTGATTTAAAAGTCCAAGTAAATTTATGATAACTTTTATAAGTTTATAGAATTTCTCTCTTTTAATGTTTTGTTTAGTTTGATACAAGTTATTTATGTTATTAATTTGGTGTTTACCACATCACAGCCAATGGAATCACCCTCCAGATCTTCCTTTCTTTCTTCTTTAACTTCTCCCCTGCCCACCACAACAGTAAACACTCCACAGATCCTGGAATAGCAGTTTGGATATCCCACCAACCCAACATTTCAGCCCAAACCCTCCACACAAATGGACACCAAATTAAGACATGAGTCACTGATTCAGTATCACTGCCACAAAACACGCAAGCAATGGAAGCACTAGAGTTGATCACCCCCAGTTTTTGTGGAAGTGCAGGAATGAGTGTGTATTCAGAAAAAACTATTCCAAATGCGGAGGACCTTTGTAACTTAATTAAATATAGGATTGCATTTTGGTTAAAGTCAGCTTTCAGTGAGTTTAATTTTTCAGTTCAGGATTTTGTGCTTAATTTGAGGCAAGTGAGGAAGTGCTTGGGAGGGTGTGTTGGTTTGGTGTACTGATCTGTGGTGTGCTGTTAGGCTTTGTTGTTGGGTGTATGCTGCACTACTGTTTTTTTTGTGGGACTTGAGAGGTTTGCTAGGCTGGTATGGTGTATTACCCAGATTGTATGCTGTTATGCTTTGAGGATTGGTGCATGTTGTACTGGTGTTTTGCTATTTTGCTGCTTGGTATACTACTGTTTTGCTATTTTGCTGCTTGGGTGTATGGTGTATGTTGGGCTGGTATGGTGTATTACTCAGATTGTGTGCTGTTAAGCTGTGCTGTTAAGCTATGCTGTACTGGTGTTTTGCTATGTTGCGGTGGATTGGTGTATGTTGTTCTGCTTTATGCTGTTCTGTTGCTGTGTTGTAGGTTGCAGGTGTGTAGTGTTGGGATTTGATAGGTAGTGTGGGAGGTTTTTGGTCTGCTATGGAGGATTGTTTATTTATGGGAATGATGCTTTATTGTACAGATCATGAGGTATTTAGGTGGTTTTTGGGTTGAACTGTTTGGGATTTGGCCTGCTGGTTGAATTCTACTTCCTTGCTGGATAGTCATTTGTTTAGTCTCTTAGTTCGAAGACGTAGTCTAGCTCTCTATCTGTTTGTCTTTTTTCTTGCTTTTTGTTGTTGATTCCTCACCAACTGGCGCTGGGAGCTTCTGTTTAGCTCCAAGCTCCCCTTATTGATGTAATATTTCATACTGTGTTTGTTGTATCAATAAATATTTCTTTTTGCTGATAAAAAAAAAAAGTTATTTATGTTATTAAGTGATTATGATACTATTATTCTCAATAGTTTTTATAATTAATAATTTCTTATGCATATCAAATTTTATTGTGAAATTTTGTGGATTAATTATTGTTAACATCTACCCAGATGGCTTAATATCATGGTTTGTTGCTATTAAGATATAATTTAAGATTAAGATGATTTGTTTATCACATAAAATATAAATAATCTATTTTTCCGTGCATCGCACAGGTTACCGCTAGTTTCATGGATATGCATTCGTGTTCTACTAAGTTAAGAAATTTTGGGGCATTTTAGAAATTCTATATTTTTTTGAAATGGTTAAATAAAGGGGGAATTACCATTTAGTGTAATAGACCAAAATTAAATAAAGGGGGAACCAAGTCTCCTGGAATCTAAGTGCAGGGCTCAACAGAAAGTACAAGTCCAAGTCTCATGTATATTTATGTATACTTGCAACATAGAAAAAATAAAATAAAAGAAAGAAAAAAGTGAGAATCTTTTCACATATCAACTAAATGGACATACTTGTATATCTTTTTCTTTCTTATTTTTCTTTTTTTTGATTGGCACTGAATGTCCGGATCAAAGCCCAACTAATCCCCAGGGTGCATAGGCCTCGGCAAGGAGTTTTTCTGAAAGTGCACCACGGTTAATTCAAGAGTTTTTCCCTAGTCCGATGGCTTAAGAAATTGTTAGCACCTAAGAGCATCTCCAATGGCAAGCCATTGGAGCTGCTATTGCCATAATTTGGCAGCTGCAACAGAGCAGTATATGCTCCAATGACTTGCCATAGCATGTGCTAAATTTGAGAAATTGACACAAGCTTTGGTAGCTGCTATTTGTGCTAGAGGTTATACTTGTATATCCTTTTCAATTTCGAGTATATGCATCAACTAAAATAAATACCATAAGCAGTGGTCATATAGGCTTCATTTGGTTCACTGGAATGAATTGAAATGGAATGGAATGATCATTCCTTAGGCTTTCATATGGAATCGTAATACATTTTGTGGCTATTTTATTAGTCAACCAAACATAAAAATGAACATTTTGATAGAATGAATATCCCATTCCGTTTCATTCCAGTGAAACAAATACTACCATATGGTTTGGATTGTTTAGGGGTTGTGAATGGGGAAAAACTTACCCAAGAGCTCTAGAAAATGGCGTAGAAGGAACTCTCCTCTCCCTCGGCCTCCTCTTTTGTATCTTAGGAGGAGGAGGAGCAGGAGCAGGCTCTTCTTTGTCAAGGGCAACATTGGCCTCGGAAGCGAGCAAACCGTCTTTGACATCACAACCAACATTCGATGGCAATGGCGGTGGTATCTCGGGAAAGGGAACTTCCTTACCACCAACATTTGATGGCAATGGCGATGGCGATGGTTGAAGAGGTGATGGTGTTTGAGGTTGGTTCTCCTCAACCGCCGCCTCGAAGTATACAACACTGGTTGTTGCTTTAGAATTGTTACTACTACTACTAGTAGGAGGTGAGGGAGGAGGAGGAGGAGTGGAGAACTCGCGGACCTCGCCGGTGGTGAGTCCAGAGAGATCAGTGACGACGAGGATTGCTTTCTTCAAGGAGGAAGTAATTAGGGATTGCAAATCTCCATTTTGAGATCGAGAACGTTTCACAACCTCCTTGCTGATTAGGGATAAGCCATCTACAATCCTGCCTAGCTCCTTCTTCGTCAATGAAGAAACCATTCTTATTCTTATTTTTATTTAATTCGCGTTGGTCTTTCTTGGACTTGGATTCAGTGCACAAGAAAAAAAGCAGTAATGGTTGTAAAAATTGGAATTGAAAAAAGGCTTCCAATTCCAAAATACGGAAAGATTATTGCGGTCCGCATTCTAGCACGACGATGATGAAAAAATATGTTCTAGTTAAAAATAAAATGACATGGGTTGAAAATGTCCTAGCATTACTATTTACACAATTCTCACTTTACAAAAATAATTAAATTATTTTTTATATAACGATAACATTTTTTATATAACTTTATAAATTTAATTTCAACTAAATAATATTATTTTAATTATTTAATTATTTTTTAATTTTTATAAAAGATATATAAAAAAAAATAAAGAGACAATATAATAACTTATAACAAATAAGTAAATAAAATGTTTATTTAGATTGTTGTCAAATCCCCCCTCACAAATAAACCTAATTTATATTAAAATAGTAAAAAAAAAATTATTCTCTTTATTTTTTTAAACATGATTTTATAAAAAAAATTAAAAATAAAATAACTAGTTGTCAACTCAGCGCTTTACCACCGGAGAAAATAAGTTGTCATCGAGATGATCATCTACTTCATCTTGTGCCACATTCTAACAATTGTTTATACTGTCACCTTCGTTTGTAATGCAATTGCTGTTATTATGTAGGAACATAACTTTGTACTTCATGCACAAAACATTTTATTTGACTCTTTTTCTTTTTCTTTTTTTTTTTTGAATTTTCATGTACTTAAAGAATGTCTTTACTAAATTAATAAATAAAATCCCCAGCACAACATAAAGCATTGACAACAGTGCTGCATACCACAAGTGGGGGTGACCCACAACACCCCCACCCCACGTGGGGCTGTGAGTGGAAGACCCAAACAAATAAATAAATAAATAAATAAATTCAGCCAATAAAAACTCAGTGGGGGTGGTGGGGGTCCCCACTGGGGGGTCTAAGGCATTTTTCAAGCATTTAAATTCAAAATTTATGGTTCTACAGAATAATGTGAAGAATTATGCTTCGTCTGATTATGCCTATCGAAAACATTATTGAATTTTTGTTGTTGTCTTACTGACTAATTTTTATCATAATTCTTAAATTATTTGTCGTTAAATTCGTCCCCAATATCAATTTGATTACACTCAGGTCGTCTCGAGACATTGTGCCTGTTTGGCAGAGCTTAATTACAGCTTATTTCAGCTTTCAGCTTAATTTAAGTTATTTTGATGTGTTTAGTTTAGCTTATAGCTTATAGCTTTTTAGAAGTTGGAAATAAACTTATTCTTTGAGTGGGGCAGGAGATGCTTTAAGAATAAGCTGGAAATCAGCTTAAGCTGAAAGTTATAAGCTATAAACTGTTGAGGCATAAGCTATAAGTACTTTCCCACAGCTCTACCAAGCAGGGCCATTTTAGCTAATAAGGTCGCTTCGAGCAAATCCCATCCGAATTCTTGTTAAATCCTTCTTTATGATCATTGTCAATAAGCCCGTTTTTCTCACTCGTATGAATGATAAATGATAAGCGTGCTGAAAAAAACAAGAAAAAAAACGAATCCATTAAGAGCTGGAACCATCACTGATGGAGAGATCACTCTCAAAATATACATCCACTTGAATTTTAATTGATAAACAACGAACTATCTTGGCCCTTATACTTTACAATACTTTATAATATGACAAGTCTAACACTTTAAAAGTAAGTAATTTAAAAATTAGAAAGATTAAGGGGTTATTTAGGGTCTCCTAAATAAATATATTTTTTGACTTTTTAAACTAAAAAGTTAAGGAAAAAATATGTTTGTTTGGGTTAACTTTTTGACTTTTTATAGAAAAATATATATTAAAAATTGTATAAATTAGTATGCAAGAGAAGATTAAGAGTGTAAGTTGTACAGCCGTATCATCTGCTCAGCCGAATTGATGCCAATAAATAATTGGTTGTTTTTCGGGCATTGCATTGGACGGTACTGTTCGGCCCGTGGGAGGCATTACGGGCCCCGTTTTGATAATCTGAACCATTAATGTGTAGAACTCGTTGAGTATTATATGCTTGTAAAAAATCACTCTGATCAGATATCGATAGCTATCTGATCAGATTAGTTTTTTTTTCAACTGTTAACTATAATATCATCTTTTTTTTTATTATACAAAACTAATTTGATCATGTAGTTAGCGATATCTGATCAATATGATTTTTCATAGACATATAGTAATCGACGTGTTCTACACATTGAATGGTTCAGATTATCAAAACGGGACCCGTGATGGGCTCCTACGGACCGAACAGCAGTGTGTTAAAATTGTACTCCAACTGTGCAATTTTTCTTAAAAAAAGCAGCCACAGATCTAAAAAAAATAGCCACGGGTCAGATCTATCTTGTAATTTTGTGTGTAATATTAATTTTTTTTTTTGATAAATAGTGATAACTTCTTGACTTTTTATCTTTTTTTACACATACCAAACTTAGCCTAAATCAACACAAACTGTCAGTAATGAGATTCAAGAGTCTTTGGTTGTTATTCTTCAATGAGACTTGTGTGTTCTTCGTACATATACAAATATATGTATTTGATTATGCCAAATAACAAGAACTCGCTTAACTCAGATTCAGACATAGGTTGTGAGAGCTCATTGGATATCTATCTTATATCGTTCTGTGAGGAAACCACACTATTACATAAATTGATTAACTCTTTCAAATTAGTACAAGACTTTTTCCTAAAAGGAAAATAAAACCGCGAACGTACGCTCAGAACGGACAATATTGCCCTAATGAGCTAATGAGGCTGGTTACTTCACACTAAAAAATGTATAGTGTTCTTTTTATTTTTTATATTTTTATTGTGTTTTGAGATTTTGTGTATACAATAATTTTACATAAAAATAATCGATTACAAAATCAATTACTTTTAATGTTAATTTATGTTCAACATTAGACATAAAGTTTCACTGTCACATAATATAAAATATGTATTATTATATTAGAATTTGAGTTTATATTGAATTATATATAATAAAATATTTATATACTACTTGATTGTCAATATGTTTTTTTTTTTTTTTTAACTTTCTTCTCCTAATTTTGGAGATAAGTAAATTATTATAGTAAATTAGAAAAAACTTGAATAAAAAAAATAAAATTTGAGGACCAAAATAAAAAATATCAAACATTAAGGGGCAAAGTGCAATTTACCCAAACTAACCTTATCTGTCTCTGCACTATTACAAGCTCAGGTCTCAAACCAAAATTCTCCATAAACCCTCCTGCTCTCCTCCCTCGGCCATTTAGCAGCCCAGCACTAGTCACAGTTAGAAGAAGAAGATAGAGAAGAATATTAGCTATGTTGGCCTCTGCATTCTCGGTCTCTTCTTGCAAGGTTGCTTCTACATCTACTTCTCAGTTTTTCGCCCCATACTTTCCTTTTAATCATTATTGCTTGCTCTTTTACTAATTATGTTTCTTCTTTTACTTTCATTGTTCCTATTTATTTCTCCCACCTCGATAGAAATCCTTATTTGCATTTCCTTTGTAAATTAACAGTTATCACAATTATTGCATACAATTTTGAGGCTATATAATGTTATAATTAGATTATTAGGTTATAATTTATTAGACTGTAAATATAATTTATATAAATAAAAAATGACATTTATATATCATATTAATGGAATTGTTGCTATTGCGTAATATGTGAAATAATGCAATTTTTTTATTTTTTTTTTATTTTCAGTGTTTTTTTTTTTTTGTTTTCAATGAATTTTTTAAATATTTTAAGTAATTTTTTTTTTTAATTTTTAGACACACCTAACGTAAGTACATTTTAAAAAGTACAATATTTGTGATTTTTTTTTAAAAAAATTCACTAAATACCAAAAATATCAAAAAATATATAAAAATTCAGCACATTTTTTTTTGTGTATTTATTAATTTTTGAAAATATTTTTGCACAAATATTTTAATATTTAGATATATCTAAGTACGGTGCGTCTAAAAAAATAAAATAATTGCTTAAAATTTTAAAAATATTAACTAAAAACAAACAAACACGAAAAACGAAACTCAATTTTTAAAAAATTGAATTTAAAAAACTAAAACCAAACGCACGGTTGAGAAGTCTTCCTCTTCACATATTCTTTTGATATATGTTTTTTTGCAATGGAACAATTTCAAAAGCCTAATATTATTATGATATTTTTTGTAGTGGTATTTTATTTTCTTGGATTTGAAACTTATATTATTGATGGTGCTAATTTATGGTATTCGTGTGCTATTAAGAAATACCAAAATTTTATGTTCTTGGATATGTTTTTTTGTCTTCTTTCTGGGCGTAAATGCTATTTTTAAAGTCTCTTTCCCCCCCCCCCCTCTTCTTATTTTTTAAGAGATTACAGAGTCATTCATAGAATGTGAGCATGTATTTTCCTTAATTTCCTTTTTATCTTGATAGACTTCTTTTTCCTCTCTGGTTGTGCTTGATTTTTTTTCCTTCTATTCAATGACATTATTCTCTTTTGTCAAAAAAAAAAAAAGAAAAAAAAAGTGCCCTTGGTTTTGAGAGAGTGGAGTTGCACTTCTAGAATATAGTTCTTCCAAACCTTTTTGGTGGGTCGATTTTCTATCTCAATTCTCTCTCATTAATTCAGAGAGAGAGAGGGGGTGGGGGTGGGACGAAATTGAAACTCGACTTAAGGTGTAGGGACCAAAATGAAATTTAAGTCAAACTACGAAGGTGAAAAGTGTAATTTACCCTTTTTTTCTATTTCAAAATTGTAACTGAGAATTTTTGGTTTCAAAACCTCAAAATGTTGATCCCAAATGACTTGAAACGAAGAAATTTCCCAGTTTGAAAATGTGAAACTTCTTGTTTAATGCGTGAAATCCCATTCCCAACCAAACGACCAAAATACCCAACAAGAGCAACGGATATAGAAGAACCTTCTAGAATTAGTTTTGTGGCACTGGCAGAGTCAGAAATGTTGCTGATCTGGCACTGTTTCAAGCTTCTCTTTAGTTTCTCAGTTTTGAAACTTAGAAATGAAATTTTGATAATTTATGAATTTATGAGTTTTTTTTTTTTTTTAATACATAGTTTCATTTTTATTATGCATCTCGTTTGATAGGTCTCAACGAATAGGTTCAAAAAATATAATTCTTAAAAAGAAAAAATAGACGTGTACAATGAAAGTCATGATAATTTAGAGTTTGAAACAAAACTGTATGGCGCATTGCTGAGTGCCATTAACATTGTGGATTTCTACTCATGTTAATGATGTGTATTATGGTCTTTTGGATACATGTGGGACTTAATGAGTTAAAAAACATTAAGTGGGATTGAATGTTGTATAAGTACATAAAATGAGACATCTGGCCGAATCCCCCTTATTTTTACTAGTCTTTCCTTATTCTTGAACATGCAATGCATTTTATCACTAAAGAATTAATCACACCGAACCTTGCTTTATTAAGTTGCTTGGCTACCTGCTAGAACTTTACTATCTTTTATGCTTGCTTGATTCATCATGAACGGATAACTTTATTGCTTTCAGGGAAATTTTAGCCGAGATGTTTCATATCTTCAAAGGCCAGTTATTGTTTCAAGAATAAAACAATTGCAGCCAAGTTGTTTTGGACTTAAAACAGTATCTGTCTTGGGTAGAGTGTTAGCATCAAGATCTCACTACGCGTTGTGCTTTTCTGCATCACAACCTTCTAAAGTACTTTCAATTGCAAAACGTAGAATGGTGTGTAGCAACTCAATGGCCAGTGTAAGTACCTTAGTTCATCGCTTTGCTTTAGACTTTTGCTCCTCTTTTTTTTTTTTTTGGTTTTTTTTTTGGCTACATGGCATTACTCTTCTCGTTTGGGCTCAAAAATGCAAAAATCCTTATGGAACATGGTTGTAAGATTTAGTAAAGAACATCAAACTATAATTCAGACACATGCTTTGGTGGATAGTACATCTTGATTTAGCTGGATTGAAATTGGGTATCTTTTTGTAATGGACTAAACATACGTATTTTCTTACTTTATTTTGTAACTAAATAATATACAATTAATATTAATATTTTATAAATGGGTGCGGGATGGGTCGGGCTAGGCTAAAACTCCTTATCCCATGCCCAGCATGAAAATTAAATGGGTTCAAAATCTCAACCCACCCCAACCCTATGGGCTAAATATTTTTCCCAAGTCCTAAAAATAGCGGGTTGGGCTGGCCATTGAGCCCATGGCCACCCCTAGGTATACCCAAACACAGAGGAATGAGAATTGTCAATACATTCCTATGTTATTTTGGCAACCAAATAGTAGAATAGAATGGGAATGAGTATTATATTTCATTCAACCTAGTATCCATTCCCACTTGCATTCCATTCCAGTGTACCAAATGTATCCTTAGTTCTCATTCGTTTTTTTAAAAAAAAAATATTTGGAGCCTTGATAATGTTCTCAGTGAATAGTTTCCTTGGATCATGGTAAAATATGCTTTATTCTTGGCTACTAGTTTTCAAAGTCATAAATGATTGTTAGAATCTTACAATTTAAAATTTGGTATGAGTTTTAAGTAAAATAATTCAATTTGTGTAATTAAATCTTAATTTGAGTGAATTGTACGATTCAATAGCGATCACTACGATTCATTGCAATTCATTGTGACTCCTTGTGATTCAGTACCGTTTGCTTAATGCCTGAAACAGCATCATTTCACAAAATTAAAAAAAAAAAGTAATTAATTACATTGATATACTTTAGTTATATTGATGTTTATTTCATTTTAAACAATGTATTTTTATATGTATATGTATATATATAAAATTATATATTATGCTAAATAAAGTGAGTCTTACTATTTACGATTTGACAACAATGGTCATATATATGTATACAGTGTTATTATTCATTTTGATTCTTGTTTTTGTGTTTATGGTTAATTGTTGTTTTGATTTAAACATTTTACGTGGTTTTTCTTTTAGGATTTGGAGCTGCAAGCTAAAGTGACAACCAAGTGCTTCTTTGATGTAGAAGTTGGGGGTGAACTTGTTGGTAGGATTGTAATGGGTCTGTTTGGAGATATTGTTCCTAAAACTGTCGAGAACTTCCGTGCTTTGTGCACAGGCAAGTTCTTCTTGGTAGTCCTTCAAGTTTTTAGAACCATTATTGTTAAAGTAAGTTATACCCATTGGTTAAACCCATTTACTTGTATCTATGGGTGAGAAATCTGTGTATATTCAATACTGTACCTGTTGCCAATTAGTACATCACTCCCTACAGTACGGTTTGTAATATCGTCAAGGAAGAAAAGCAGTTTTGTAATTTTAAAAACACGTAGATGTTGTTGGACGTGTCACTATCATTGTCAATATTAGTAGTAGTTTTAAAATGCTAAATTTTTTGAAATTCAAACATTATGGACACGGAATTTTAATCTCAGCCTGTTTTTCTGTAGTTATAGATATATTGGACATACCAGTTGAGCTATTTACACATCAACGGATTTATGAATATTGTTACTGCAAAAAGAATTGTATGGCAGTGAACTTAATATTTCATGTTTCCTTTAAAAAAAAAAAACATGCAGGAGAGAAAGGATATGGTTACAAAGGATGCTCCTTCCACCGTATTATCAAAGATTTCATGATCCAGGGAGGGGACTTCACTGAAGGAGATGTGAGCTCTCTCTCTCTCTCTGTCCCTCTCTCTGCCCCCCCCCCCCCCCCCCCTATATATGCGAGGGTGCTGTATTTGGGCTTGAGGGAGGTGGAGGACCTATATGGTTTTGCAAGTAGAATGTCATCTTTAATAGATTGTGGTGTTTTCTGACTGCAGGGCACTGGAGGGATCAGTATTTATGGTTCTAGTTTTGAAGATGAGAATTTCACCTGTGAGTGAACGTGGGATCGTTGTAAAATTCAGTTCTTTGCCGTTGCTTCTTCTCTCTTCTTCAAACTGTTCAATCAGTGTGGTATGAAGTGCTGATATTTTCGTGTAATTATTTGTAGTGAAGCATGTTGGACCCGGAGTGTTGAGCATGGCCAATGCTGGCCCTAATACCAATGGCAGCCAATTTTTCATTTGCACAGTAAAGGTGCAATAGCTGCAACCTCTCTTCTTTTTCTTTTTTTGTGTGTGTGTTTTTATTGTTGACATATCTAACTGCATCCTTTTCATTTCCTAGGGACAATTTGGCTCTCTTCTTACGGATGTTAGAATTTGAATAAAATGTTTCCTAGAGTAACTTTGAGATATATAAAGCTTCCTTCAAAAGCCTAGAAATGTTAAAACACTACATGATAAATTGATCAATAAGTTTAAGTGATTTGTGTTATTAGGAGTCTTTTAGATAATATTGCTATGTTTTATATTCTTTTTTGTTTGGGACTTTATAGTAGCTTTAGTGATAGTATTTAAGCTTTATTAGGTATCCTTGTTTAGTAGGAAGAGTTTTACAAGGCTTCTATTATTAGAGATTTCTTAAGCCTATAAATAGGTCATATTGCTTTGAAACAAATTTGGCCTCCCATATGTGCATAATATTCAGATGTGATAGAATCTCGTGGGAATTCATTCACCAAACTTTAATTGACTTTCATTTAATGACATGTGGATTAGCCTCATCATGAGTTCCATTACTGTTGTTAATACCTCTATTCTTAGGAATGGTGAGACCTTACCTGAATTCCCTACCAGTAAAGGAATTAGACAAGGTGAACCCTTGTCCCTTTACATTTTTGTTTTATGCATGGAGAGAATCTTTAATATGATAACTTATAAAGTTGATATGGTGATTGGAAAGGGCTTAAGGCTGTGGGGCATTGCCCTTCTAATTTCCACCTTTCTTTGCAAATGATCTGCTCCTTTTCACTAGAGCTGATGTTAATACCTGCAATGTGATTGTGGATATCATGGGTAATATTAGTGATTGTTTTGGCCAAAGGATTAATTTCCAGAAATCTAAAATCTTCGTTTCCCCTAATGTCCCTAGCAATAAGGCCAGAGCTCTGAGCTGCTAGTGTGGCATTCCTCTTACCCAAGACTTGGGGAAATATCTTGGAACCCCCATAATGCATAATAGGGTGACCAAATCCCAATTCCAATTCATCATTGAGAAAATGCAAAGTAGACTGTTTGGGTAGAAGGCTACCACCCTTAACTTGGCTGGGCGTGCTACTCTAATTCAACTTGTTACTTCAGCTATGCCTTTGAATGTGATGCAGACTGTTGAAGTGCCCGAAAGTACTTGTAATGATATTGATAGAATCAACAACATATATGTTCTTTATTTGTGTTTTGCAGACTCCATGGCTGGACAATCGTCATGTTGTTTTTGGAAATGTCATCGATGGAATGGATGTTGTGCGGAAACTTGAATCCCAAGAAACAAGTAGATCGGATATCCCTCGGTTGCCTTGCAGAATTGTCAACTGTGGAGAGCTACCACTGGATGGATGATCTGTCTGTGTTCTCATCATATCAACAACCACTGATTACAAATTTCGATTTGGTCCATTATTCCATTTTTGTTCTCACCTCTTGGTTGTGCATGTTTATGCAAAAACTCATGTATTTGGGATTATATTTTCCGTCGCTGAGAGAAATGCAAATGAAACATTATACTCTCACATGTGTCCATGTATTATGCTATGGGTGAATATGGACATGAGATTCTATCATCCATGTAATCAAGAGAGAGAGAGAGCTCAACTTGACAAGCCTGATTGATGAATTTAGCTACATCAAGCCCTATATAGTATACAACAGGTATTTGTCATACTCTGTTCTGTCTGGTGATCTGGAAATTGCACTTGTGGATCTAGATTATGTCTCAACCTCGGCCAGTTAATTGTTATCATGGCACTGATTATTATTGTTATTTGACAAGTATCGAATTGCTTAAAATTATTTGTATAATGCCTGGAAAAAATGTTGAATGGATAATAATTCTTCTGGAGATGTTATGTGTTACGAGTTGTTTAAGTTGGGTTAAGCATATGAGAATTGGTAGCCTTAGTTGTCCTTTGTGCTGAAGGATTACTTGAAGGTGTTTGGTAGGCTGAAGGAGCTTTGGCTATTTAAAAAGTTGTGCAGTTTAAAGGAGTGTGGTGCTTTTGCAACTTAGAGGTTATGCTGGAAATTTAAATTGATCACCTGAGCAGGTTTTATGTAATTCAAGAAGAGATAGGCAAAATTTTATTGTCGATTTGTCCCAAAACTTGTAAACTAACTTCATCTTACTGTGAGTATAGATGTATCAATTTGGGGACAACACTAGCCAAGTAGAGGCTAGGAACAACTATTTTTTGCGTGGGAGGGGAGACGGAAGCCTATGCAAGGACTATAGTTTCGACAGGAGTGGATTGGATGACTTGCTCTACCTGCTCTCCTTCTTCGTTTTCACTTTCCCATATTTCAGGCAGTGCCTCTTTGATATTGTGGATGCTATTCAGGGCGTGGTCTGCTCCAGGCACCAGCGTTGGGCTCCCTACCTGTCATTCATTAATAAGTTCTGATGCTCTTAGTTTTGAAATCAAATTTATTTCAGTTATTATTTGTTATTATTATAGTAAAGAAACATTGTATTATCATAAAATTGTCGAGTGATACTACCTCTGATGGGGTTTTTAAGCTGATTTTAGGGTTAAGTCCTAATCAACTAATATTTAAAAAAAAAAAAAAAAACTAGAAGGAAAGCTAGAGAGATTTAGAAATTTACAATGACTGTGTGAAGCCCAGCTGCCTTCCCAGTTGCAATGTTCCTTGCACTATCATCAAAGAAAATCTGACAAAAGAACATATAATGATTGCCATTACTCAATAAAATAATTATTAAACTTTAGTCGGCTAGCTAGTTAGCTTCCCAAATGAAAGAATGAAAGCATACATACTGTTTTCTTTGGATCAACATTTGCAATCCGAATGGCGGCTTCAATAGCTTCCACTGAGGGTTTACAGAGAATGGGTAACTTGGGTGCTAAACTGTTACGGTCATGAGTATCATCAGTGGGGGCGCACTCTAATTCACCCTCTTCACCTTGTGTGGGCACAAGGTCTTCTTTGTCTTCATCTACACTACAGTTCATGTAATCAACTGGTTTGGAAGAGGGATTGGGATTAAGAGTTTCAAAGCATATCACACCATCGAAACAATCTTCCAAGTCCAGTCTGCTCAGGACTTGTGCTGCATGTGCTTTGTCCGCATTAGTGAAGATCTAAAGACACCACCAATACACATGCATTGTCAGAACAGCCAAATTATTGGAGTTTCTTTTTTTTTACAATAAATTAATTGAAGTCATACTTTTGAAACACAACTTCAAATGACTCGACAAAATAAGATTTGAGAAATATAAGTTCAAAATTGTTTGGGTTTGAAAATTATATTTAGAAATGGCAGGTTAAAAATAAAAGAGTAAAAATTATCCCAATTCTGGTTCGAGGTACAAGCAATTAAAGTTGTCAAGTCTTATCATAGCAACTTATTATGCTTGACATACTATTTTGCGCTGTGGCATAGAAAGTAGAAGGTTCCTTAGCACTGGGTCGGGTTTCAGAGCATCGTATGGTAAGTTTCCATGAACGTAAGCATGAAACTGATCATCATCAAATTCATAGCCAAGAGCCTGAAAAGGAGAGCATAAGAGTTTCATAGATGTAAACTGACAATGAATACTAGTACCTGTTACTGTTACAACGTATTGAGGGGAAGAAATTGAATAAAACAATTGAAAAAAAAAATTTAAGTTGTGTTTTCACCTTTAGACCAGCCATGGTCGTCCCATATTCCCTATACAGGTCCAAGCACATCTTAGCAACTTCATTTTCATCAATATGCAAGTGTCGCAACATGTATTCTGCCATAAATTTAATTAACATCATTTCATTTCACTTCATACCCACAATACAATCATCATCACTAGCAGCATGCATCATAATAAATTGATAACTAATATATAGATATATAGTTGTTATATATACAACTCGTACCTTCTATGTTCTTGCGACAAGCCAAGTTGAGACCTGAGCTCATAGGGTACAAAGTATCATCCATATCTGAGAAAAACAAGTTAAAGAACGAACAAATCTGAGAATCAGTGAGTAGTTTTTTTGTTTTTACAACATATATTCTCAATCTCAACCAGAGTCAGAGGAGGAATATTTCTATCTCCAATAAGAAGCACCTAAGGATTCTTTCCACTTGCACTATAGCCTACTGGTGTTAGTGAAGGTGAGATTCTCGTACGTGGGTGTATGAATTCAAATTCTTGTAATGATGTTCTCGATGTCTACCATTATTTACACATTGAAGAAAATAGGCTACAATACATTCAATTTTCTAATTGTTCTCTTAAATCTCCCTATCTTGTCGATTTTAATCATTCAATTGTAAGATTCTAGAAAAAGTAACACTGCAATTCTAACTGGTTTTTCAACTTGCATATATGAGAAGGTACAGAAACTGGCTTATCATGATCATGCCATGCACCTAACTAATCAATTAATGTCAGATTATATATATTAATTGGAGCGTACCAAAGAGCAAGCACTCATACTTAGTACTGGACTTTCCACCAGCATCATCCATCTTTGAGAGTAAACCTGCAAAAATTTATTCACTTTTTCAGGTATTCATGTTTCAAAATATTGAGGCTTGATTGCTAGCTAGGAAGAGGATGGCAACTTGGTAAGAGCATCTCGAATGGAATAGCTAAAATTGTGTGTTGTATGACAAAAAGTGATAAAAGTGGGACTCAAAAATGTATGTTAAGAGTTTGTTAATTTAGAGAGTGAATGATGGTGCAACGAATGTGTTAAGGGGATTGTTAAGGATATATAAATATATATAAATAATAGATAAAATAAATAAATAATACAAAAAGGACTACTGGCCAGCATTTCTGTGCTGTGCCAGTCCCCTCTCTCTTTCTCTCTCTTATTTGCAATTGTTAGACAACTCACCACAGTAAACAAGTGACTTGACACAAAAAATTGCTCTTAACACTACTCTTAACAGTTCCACTGTGCAACAAAATATGAGGGAAACAAACCAAATCTTTAACTTCTGACACAGTGGAGGAGTAAACACTTCCACTGTGGATGCTCTAAGCAAAGAAACTTGGAAAGGGGAGAGGGGAATGATCAGAGAACAACAATCATGAGAGGGAGAGAACATGAGTGTGGTGAGAAGAGAGACTTCAAAAAAGTAACTGGCGGAAGGGAAAGAAAGAGATAATATAACTGGAAATTAAAACAAGAAAGATATGTTAATTGAGCAACATAACAAATAAAAAATCATTAATTACCTGTTACGTAAGTACGTAAAAAGCTCCAAACAACTCTGATGCATGATTGAACAGTGGCTTAGATGGCCTATTTATATATGAATGAATTCAAAGAGGTAGAGTGCAGAGGACCCAATGCCATGCAATGCACCCAATTGAGGAGGAATAAAGGAGGAATATGGATGATCCTGACCATGACACTTTGCTACTTCCTATTGTGAAGATTAGCAGCAGCCATCGGGTGGTGTGGTGGAGGTGCATGGTGGCGGTAGTGGCAAGCATAATAGGTCATTTCTTTCGGATAATTCTTCTGCTTTTCTATTACAGGTCATTTTCTAGAGATTGCAACTCGACCGTGCATTGCATGCCCGTATATGCTCCCAAAGATATTCCCATTATATCCAATATTTAGTCAATCATGTTAAACACAACAGAACATTAATTACAAACATAAATTATATTGCATTTGATTCTTATATATTTATTAATGAAGAATTTCTCAGTGATCCATGCGATTAATGTAATTTGGCCCCAGTCCTTCATTTCTTAATTAATGTCGTGGTGTGAGCATAATACAGGTTGATCAATTCTTTGGCAGGGCTACAAAAGAGGAGATGTGCGGAGGAAGCTTGAGAATCCTGTACAGCAGAGCAGAGCAGAGCAGGTATAGATGAGACTACTCAATCAAGAGAATTGCAGGTTTTTTCTTAGAAGAATAATATTAGTAGCATGAGGATAATTTGGCCAAAAGGGTTTTGAAGATGAGGATATATTCTTTTTTCTCTGGTTAAGTATGAAGATATGAGGTTATATTCTTTTCTCTAAGGAATATATGGATGGAACAAACATATTCTTTATACTCTCTAGTTGTAAATAAATTTAGTGCTATACGATCATTATTATAACAATAACAATGAGGTTTACTATAAGATTAATAAATCTGGACCTTTGATATATTTGTTATAGTGCTCAAGATTGGATCTTTCTCCATTTCAGGGTATATATAGAGAAGTTTATCTCTTTAAGTAAACACTCCAATGCATTAGTAGAAATACGATGAATAAATATATATGATGAGCAATACTAACTTGAAACTGAAGAGTGATTATATAATTGGGAGTTCGGGTTATAAATTCAATTTTTGGACTGAGACAATAGGATTTGTTCAGGTCGTCATAAAGGACAAACCTTCCTTTCCCTCGGCCTCTACTTATTTTCTGGTATATATATTATAGACCTATGTGGGAGCTCATTGGGTGTCTATCCCATATCGCTCTGTGAGGAAACAACACTCCACTATATAAGTTGACTAACTCCTTCAAATTACCACAAGGACTTTTTCCAAAGGAAGAACAAAGCCGTGAGGGTATGTCCAAAGCAGACAATATTGTGCTAGTGGGGGTTGGTTGCTTCATATTTAAATTAATACTTGTTTTACAAAATTTAAACAATTCATTTTGTAAAACAAAATCTGATCTATTTTTGTATTTATAGTTATCTGATAAATCTAATTTTTTGTATGTATAACCTGTACTATGAAACCTCAAAAGGAGTATAAATAGGTATAGAGAGATGAATTATGGAGGGAAATTTATCCCTAAAATCAAAATTATAGCATTTAAAATGGGAAAGCAATTTTGTATGCTTCAAAAGAGGTAAAACATCATAAGAGATCCAACGATGTTTATGCACAAATCTGTGAACATTTTTAGGAGGGAAACAAAAGGAAGAAAAGCATCCTTAACAGTAGGATCTAAGCTAAAAGATAAGCCATGCCATTCAAATACAAATTGTATGCAAGACATTTTTGAACCATTCTATTGAATTCACCATCACCATCTACAGTGATACGTAGGACAAAATTCAAAAATCACTTTGTTTTATTATATAGATATTCTCTTTTCTTGATAAAAATAGAAGCATTGATTCCAAATTCATTAATTCCTTTTTGTCTGCATTTTATCCCTCACTACCTTAACTCTGTTAAGAAAAGCAAAAGTATCTCATGGGAAAGGGCAACAAAAACAAATATCTGAGCACGAAATGAATGAAAATTAACCAAGATAGAGAAATGAAAACAAAATAGGAAGTGAAAATTCAATTACATGTTTCGCAAGGGTTGATACATGCGCCTTATCAACCGAGCTATAGGTTGCTCCAACCCTCTATTACAACTTATTACTTTTGTTTTTGCTTTAAAAAAAAAAAAATAGTGTATGTCAAGTCTAGACATCTCGCATGTCATCAAACATACACACACATACGTAGTACTAAATAATAAATAAAAATTTTAGAAGATTCCACTGTTGCTGTATGGAGGAGGTTCTGGTAAGTCTTTGACAAGGCCGCAGACTGGGGTCTTTTCTGGGAGGTTGTATTCATCCCTGAGGGAGCGTGCTGGGGAGAGAACGCTGAAGTAGAATTGTTGTCCCAAGTAAGCCCTCTCCCACATCTCGGACCTCATGTTCCACATTCCCGCATTATCTAATGTGGTCATGATGGCAGCCCACGATCCAGGGTACACTTGGATGTTGTGCCTGCTCACGGCATCAACAAGATTGTAGTTCTTCCTCTTCTCTGGAGTCCACCTCCCGGGTTCAATTGCCACAGCGAAGAATGAATACCCATCTAAGTGCCATGTCTGAATGGTCTTCTCGTGGTTCTCTAAGATTATCTCAACAAAGTTACGGAATGTGGCATTAAGGACGTTGGGGGCGAGGACGATCTTCTCATTAGATTCAGATGCAGCCTCGGGCTCGTCTTTGATGATGTCATACTTGAACACCTTGTCCTGGATTCCATAGTACTCAACAAGCTTAAGCGGGGTAGTTGGCTCAACGTGGGAGACACCGTTGATGGCATAACGAAGCTTGCCATCCACATTGTTCCTCGAGTTGACAAGCTTGATAGTGCGGGTGATGTTGATTTTACCATAGTGGTATGATCCCTGAGGGTTGGGGCGGGCAGCGCTAGCAGTGAGGTTCCAGCGGAATGAGCGGAACTGATTGATGGACCATGCGATTCCAGTGGCTGTCTCTGGTGGGGGTGCTGGCAGCTCAGAAGAAGGTGAATTCTTCCCGTTGGCATAGCGGATGACTGCAACACTAGTCAATGGTTGCTTGGTGAATCTGCTGGAAAACACCATGTAATAATCATTGGGCTCTTGGTTGGCTTCGACCAATACGGAGAAGCACTGACCAATGTGCACGTCAAGAGAGTCGTATACGTTCTGAACGGTGTGTGAACCCTCCATCTCCACTAGCTTCAAACTGTGACCTTGGATCCTGAAATTCAGTGATGTCTTCATTCCCACATTGCAGACCCTGTACCTGTAGATCTTGCCAGCCTCCATGTTGAACATGGGCTCGTTGCTGCCACCGACCTTGCCAGACTTGCCATTGATCTGGATACCATCAGGTCTGCCGAGTGAGCGCCCGGTGTCCAATTGCTTCTGAATAGATTTATGGCCCTTGTTGTACCAATCCCCAGCAATGACAAAGTATTCATCGGCAGGTGCATCAAAGGGGACCGGGATGAGAAGCCGACTATGGACCTGTAGGCCACCAATTCCGCCAGATGCCCTTTGAAGGCCAGTGGTTGGGAAATAGTAGTAGCTTCCAATCTGGTCCTTGACCTGGAATTTGAATGTGTAGTTTGTGCCCGGTTGGATTGGGCACATGGTTCCAAGCGTACCGTCTTGCCACGAGTTCTTCCTTTGCTGGATCCCGTACCAGGTCAGGAGAAACGGCTCATCGAGTTTGTTGAAGACATTAACAACAATGTTGTTGTTGGAGGTGCAATTGATCTTAGGCCCTGGAAACTGACCATTGATGAGGATTGCTTGCACGGGGACTCCCACCGGCGAAATTGTCCCGTAAGTGACAGTCCACTCGAAGAATAGGTACGGGTCCTCTGCCCGTACCACTGACACCCCGGCCAATAAGCAAAGCAGCAATGCGGCTGCCACCAACGTCGTCTTCATGCTACCCATGTTTGGCTGGCTCCTCCTCCCTTTCTCACTTTTTTTAATTTTTTCTTTTATTCTCTTCTTCTTTGTTATTTATGTATTTTTTTGTAAGAAGAAGAATATGGAAATTTTGTTTTGTTTTTATGAGTTTGTGATGTTCCCTGCCACCACCTTCCCCTTTTATAATATATTTTTCATAAGGGACTCTCAATTTCCACCTCTCAAAACTCCCCCCTCCCCCGCAAATTGCTCTGCGTCTCGCCCGTCTTGCTTGCACCTTCCCTTGCGCCTCTCCTTTCGTTTTTTTCCGCTTCTGTTTCATTTCCCCTATGCTCGCGCGCTCTCTCTCTTACACATTCACGTGGATGGAATTTTTCTTTGTTTCTTAGTTTAGAAAGCATACCAACGGTAGTTATCGAGTAGTTCTAACAATGCGTTTGAGAATCTGGAAAAGAATGAAATGATTACTTAAGTTATAAGAGAAAAGAAAAAAAATAAAATGATTATAATTTCTTTTTTTCTTGTTTGATTAGATTTCATAACATAAGAGAAAAGAAAAGAAATTATTTTATGTTATATTACTAAAATAACTTTTTTATATTTTCAATCATTTTATTTCTTTTATTTTTATAGGGTATGAAAATATAAAAATATGTTAGTTTCTTTTCTCTTCTAATCTCTTCACTTTTGAAAAGATTGAAAATAAAAGTTATGAGAGAAATGAGTTTCTCTCAATTTCTTCCCACTTAAGTTATCCAAACAAGTAAAAGAAATACATATTTCTTCATTTCTTTTCTTTTCTTTTCTTTTCAAATCACTCAACCCAAACATAGCGTAAAGGATAGATACGTCATATTTTATAGTATTATAATTGATGGAGAAGGTAGATATGTGGGATATTGTGTTGGGTGATTGAGGAATATAAGGAGACATAATAAATGATGATTGGTTAGACCATCTTCACCGTATTATCAATTTTTTCATCAAATTTAAATTTGATGAAAAATCATCATTTTTCTTGCTCCATATCAAATTGAGGATATGAAAAATCTTTCACCATATTAAGGATGGTTAAGATCTTTTATCAAATCACTATTCATAGCCGTTGGATTTTCACACTGGATGTCTCTCTGGATGTCCCCTGGATGACCACTCTTTAAAAAAATTTGTGAAAAAATTACACTAGTTGGTCGATCAATGTTTTGAGAAAAGCTCAAAATCTTCTATTGGAACACTTGATATCAAATGAAGTTTTTACTCAGATTTGGTAAAAAAAAAAGATATACCATTAGAGATGCTACTAGAGAGTACAGATACATAATACTACAGAAATAGTCTATAATTTCCCGCATACCAATTGACAAAATAATTGCCACAAAATTATTTTAAACTAAATAATAAATTTACATAAATCTCAAAAAAAAAATATTAGAAAATGCAATGAACTCCACTTAAATACCTCGAATTTATCCTGAATGAAAGTTGTGCGGTTGGGATTGAATTTGTGTAGTATGAGATTCATATATACAATAAATCTGAATCATAATAAAACAATTTTGAGTAATTTCTGAATAGTTAAGTTTGGATTTGTAATATTTCTGAAATTATTAACATTCATTGAACATAAAACGTGTATTATATGAATTAGGAAAGGGTGAGGATGGTTTGAATTGGTTCGATTTAGAAATAAATTACGAATTAAATCATTATATATCGTTGCATAAAATTTGAAACTAATTCAAATAATGTAAATCATAGAATTAAACCGAATTGAACCAAACGCGGTTTTATTTAGTTTAAAACCACAATTTTTAAAAATTTTGTTATCATTTACAACAAAATCACAAAATATTGTTCACAACTTAAAAAATGTTTAAATAATTGGTTATAATTGTACAATTTTGAGAAAAATAAATTTATGAAAAATGATAATTCCATTTTTTAAAAGAAAATATCCATATTTTTTATAAAGAAAATGAGTCCATATTGATTGAAATATATATGGCATGAGAATTCCTTTTTTAATTTTATTTTTACGCAATTATTTCATTATTCACCATCCATAAACATAAACATAACAAGATATAAAAAGACAAAATAGGGCGTAACAATAAATGAAATAGAGAAGAAAAGTTAACCATGAGATTAGTCAATGGTAATAGGTTAATCATCGCCTAAAATTTAAATGAATTCCAATGATCGACAAATTATACCAGAGAATCTCAAAGTTATTTTGCAATACTAAAACCAATCACCATTCTTAAAAATTAGGCGAGGCCCCAATGATTAATCTAGTATAACTTACCTTACATCGATAATATACATACATCTAAAGCAAAATACATTTTGTTTTGAGGTTTCATACTTTTAATTTGCCTTGCATCAAAGTTTGACCGATGATATAATAAATCATATGTGTCAATTTATCAAATAACTCTTTGCATATTTTGTGAAAACCAATAAATCAAACTTGGTTTAACCAAAATCACATTGGAAAATAAAATGGAGTGGACGAAAAATAGGGTACCAATAACCCCACTCTCTCACGCTCCCTAGCATTGAGTGATCCACATTCTGCCCATTTTCTAGTTTTTCACTCCCTACCACTCCATGACCTTCACCACGCCAATTAGCCTTTAATCCCACTCTGCTAACCATCTTATTCGCTATTTGTCATTGTATCATTAACACTCTTTTACAAAACTCCTATGCTCACTTGTGCTTGTTGCCAAAACAACTTTTCTCTCTCATCTTTTTATTTTTTTCTTACTATTTTATATTTTATTTAAATTTTAGAAGAAACTAAGATATGAAAGGGAGAAAGAAACAAATTCAAAAGAATGCGTGTGATGTTTACTTTAATGGGGGATTTGACATAAGGTGGTTATAATTTTGATTGTGGGTGAAATTTGATGCGGTGGTAATTTGGGTTTACTATATGTTTTGGTATGAAATTTCACACATAATAATAAGTAATTAAGATTATGTCACATGCCCTTAAATTTAAAATATGTATCTTGTTTTGATCATAAGATGCATCTTATTAAATTTGTAATAATTTAATTAAGAAGATTACTATACAACAAATTTTATCATTCTTGTAGTTTCATTTTAATTTTATTTTAGTTTTTATTGTTTTAATTTGAACACAATACTTTTTTTTTTATTTAATATGTTCTCGTCTCTCTCTTTTCATATCATTCCTTAAATGATCTTGTCAATTTGGACTCGTTTTCTCATTAAATGAGGGGAACGAAATAAATTTGATTAATTTTTCAATCAAATAAATAAAAAAAAAAAAAAAAGAAAAAAAAAAAAAAGGAAAAAGGAGCTGATTTTTTTGGACGAAAAATAGTCACATGCTCAACATGTGACCAAATTCAAAGGACAAATGTTTTTTTTTCCTTCTCTTTTTGTCATTCATCTTCTTTCTCACTCCCACCACTAGGTACAACTACCAACCACTCACCTTCTCCACCACCTCTAAACCATCACCACCCATTACTAACACCTCAACTCCTAAACCAACACAAATCCACCCCAAACTAACACCTAATCCAACCCTTCTACCATTCCAAAACCCAGCTCCCAACACTCTTGAACTACTACCAAACCCAGTCCCACCACTACCAAACCATCACTACCAAACCCTCGTAGACGTCCCCGAACGTCCCGGGAGGGGATCTCGTTCTGTTCATTTCGGGCTCACTACAGTTCGGACTCTCAAATTGTCACGGTTCTTAATCTGATCTCACAATGTGCAATGTGAAATTGATAAATCACCAAAGAGTTCAAATCTGACAAATCGTTTTGAAAAACAGATTTTTGAGAAAGAAATGCCAAACATGGACTTCTTTGCCAGATACAGAATCGCCACCTAAATATTTTTTATGAGAGAATTTAGGAAACCCTGACTCGTTTGCCTAAGGCCACGTGTCAGTCATCACCAAAGTTGTCTCGGCTCGGGAACTTGGGGACAATTGGAGAAGGTCAGCTATGAGCACCCTCGCTCACCCAATCCGAAGATCGGCCTCTACTAACCATGATATCTAGTTTTGAAAGCGTTATGTGTTCTTATTCCGGTTAATTAGCTAATCTTACTATGTGATGCGCACAATACAAAAGTATAGACTAGATCGCCTAATTTGGAACAAAGCATCACATATCCATTTGTTTGGAAATCGGTTTGAAATTTGCTACTCGCAAGTAGGCTAAAACACGGATTTCAAGGAGTTGTTCCAACTCAAACAATCCAATCTTCACCCACAAGCATTCAGGCAGATATATCACATAAGCATATAGCCACATGGTAAGCATGCTGTCATGTCATCATTCACACTCATGCGAGATGCTAAAGCATAAATACTTACGTCGTACTCCAAGCCAAAACAAGGAACTTGTTAGCAATCAAATGTATGATCCAAGTCCATGTTAAATGACTAATGCATCGCATAAAAAATGCAACTAGAATAGGCTCGGCTAATGTAGGGATGGCATGTGAAATGCAACTAATAGCATGTATTCAAGTTTGGGTTTGAAATACTTATGCAGTTAGTATGATGCGCCGAGCCCAGTGCATACAATACAAATGAATGATGCACACATGCATAGCATAAGGTATGCTAAATGAAATATGCCCTAGTACTAACCATCAAAAACAGGTAAGTAAAAAGGAGAAAGAAGTGGGGGTTGGAAGACATGCACGCACGCACCCACACTTATTACACAATTATGCTCTCTCTCGGAGAAACCGAATAAATAATACAAACCCGAATAAATAATCAACTATTCTAGCTAATTAAATATTACAGACCACTTAACTAGTTAAGCAAATTAACTAAGCTAAGAAAGCAATAAAACAGCCTTGGGAAAAGGGTCCAATGCATGCGCGCTCAGGTTCGCTCGGAAATCCGTCGCCATGCACAAGTTGCCTCTGTTTACACTGCTCTGCATATCTGAGACTTGCACAAATCCCAAGGATGCTTCAGCATCACTCTTTGAAGGTTGTGGGATGTCACTGGCCAAGGGGGAACACCACCGGCTATAGGGAATTGGTCATCGACCATTGATATGGCTCTCGGCCTCAAATGTTTGGTCAGTCGGTAATAGAGATGGTCGGCTGACCATGTATGCCTGCAGAATCCTGTTTTGACAACAGCAG